ACCCTATATAGGGTCGTTATGAGTTGGAACCGACTCAACGGCACTTAACAACAACAACAATTTCTTGATGTATCAATTTTAGACCTTATCCTGTTGTTTTTAAGTGCCATAAATCGGTTCTGACTCATAGCAACCCTGTATAGGGCTTCCAAGGAGTAGCTGGTGAATTGAATCACTGAACTTGTGGTTCAAATGAGCTTGTAGTCCAGCACATTAATCCACAGTGCCACACCAGGACTTCAAGAAATAGTAATATTACATTACCTAAACATTATGGTGGTAAATATAAACACCAATGAAACAACTAAAAAATTTAAGCGTTTGCATCTAGGGAACACGGTTGGGTGTGGGATAGAGATAGAATAGAGGATATTGCTATGTTCATTTTTATTGTTAGCTTTTAACATTTTTAGACTAAACGCATGAGCTGTTTTAATAAAAGTAAAACAAACACTATATAAGGCAGCGTAAGTGCTAAATGGTCTGGGTGGTACAAATAGTTAAGTGTTCAACTACTAATTGTAAGGTTAATGGTTCAAACCTACCCAAAGGCGCTGTGGAAAGGTCACAGCCTTGAAACCCCGTTGGAGCATTTTAACTCTACACACGTGGGGTCACCATGAGTGAGAACTGACTCAGTGGCAACCACCACCATCACCAACAATAATGTAAGCATCGTAACAATCCTATGTGAGAAATGATACTATCATTTCCACTCTGTGGATGTGAAAATGAGAGGTTCTGTAACCTTTTAAGGTCATGCAGTTAGCAAACAATACAGTTTGAATTGTACCCAGGTTTTCCAAATCCAAGTCCAGTGCTGTGTTTCCTAAACCCCACATAATTTCCAATGTGAAAGAGTATATTTAAAAGCAACCAGCAGGATCTCTGAAATAAAGTGACAATTAGAAAAACATCATTTGGGTCTAAGAATTCAGATAAGAAAAAGACATCAGTGGCTCTGTGGAGGTAGGTGTACTTTAGGTGTCAAACTATCCCAGTTTGCCTGGGGTTGAGGAGATTTCTAGATGTGGGCCTTTCAGTGCTAAAACCAGGAAAGTCTCAGGCAAACAGGATGGTTGGTCACTCTAGTTGCAATTTAAATGACCCTTAAGTGTGGGTGGTGTTAAGTGCTGTAGGATTGTTTCCAACTCCTGGCAACCTATATAGGATTTCTGAGGAGTAGCTGGTGAGCTTGTACTGCCAACCTTGAGGTTCAAACCAAATTTTCTGTCCTGTACTGATTCTATAGCATCACATCAGGATTCCTGAAGTGTGAATAAGATTTATGTATTTGAAGGGAAAAAGGGAAGAACTATCGAAGGCACTTAACAACAACAACAACACATGGACTGGAGAGAGAGAGAGAGAGGCATATACATACTCATGGAATTGAAAGAGATGTGTGGTGAGAATAGTGAGAAATCAGTTTGCAAAGGCAGGATGAGTTGGATGTGCTGTATGGAGCAAGAAGGAGAGAGAGGGAGAGAGAAAGACAAGGATGATTCCAGTGGTTTCGAGCTGAGTAAACTGTAAGGCTGGTGTTGCTGTCAGTTTAATTGGAGAAGAGTGTGTTAGAACGCATTTCAGGAGTAACATCAGAAGTTGGTAGAACACATTTCAGGAGTAATGAGGAGGTTCAAAGAGTTCGTGGGAAAAAATTAGTTATCTTTTTCTTTTTTTTTAAGTTTTTATTGTGAATTGAGTGATAGTTTACATGGGAAAACATCAGCTTTACATTCATCCTATCGTATTTTGTTTCATTACAGTGACTACAATCCCCTCCATGTATCATCATTCAACAGCATTTGCTTCCATTCCCTCTGGGTGTTTTTTTTTTTTTCGTGTACACCAAAGCACTCAGGAATATTATATAACCATTCAAATAACCAAAGAGTATATACGCTGCAACCCT